ATTAGCGTTTTTGTTATTTTTTATGGCTGTTACTACTTTTTATTATTTTTTTAAAATTAAGGATTTAATTTATCAAAATAATTAACATTATCTTAAACTTTAAAAGTGATAAGTAAAGATTTTATTAAAAACATAACAAATAAAAAAGGAATACAACTTTATTTGTAAAAATACTAACAATGTATATTGTTGGATAAATATGAGTTTTTTTTATTCAATTAATCTTACATGGTTTTTTTAAATAATAAAAAATTGTTAAAAATATAAAAGTGTACTAATAAAAAAATTTCTATAACATTGTAGTCTTTCTTTCTGGATTGGCTCATAAGCTTATGGAATAAGTGAATTGTTTTTATCAAAGAAATAATAAATAATTTTCTGGTGACTTTTGTTTTTTAAATAAGATAACATCCATTATTACCTTTTAAATTAATTAATAAGAAGTTTGATCATTTTCACTAATTGAAAAACACAAGAAATAAATTATCATAATTATAACAAAATTCTGAAATCGAACTCTATAATCAATGTAATGAACTAGTATTAGAAGAATGAATTGAATGAGCAGGATAAACGGCAGGAATTGAAGGGCAAAATAAGTAAGAGATTAAAAATGTAGAAAACTGAATAGAAGACCACAATAAATTGCTAAGGTGTAATTGGCTTGATCGCCGGATAATTGAGTTTCATGGATATCAATAATCGTAACACATCCGTCACACTAACATGTCTTTTCGCTTTCAAAATTATAAATCTGCTTTTTTTATTTTAATAATATATTTTTACAAATTATTTTCTTAATTAGTATACATATAAAATTATTTTTTTAAAACCTTTTTTCATGTTACAGACTTTATTGCGTCTTTATGAATGTTATTTTTTAAAAAAAAATTAAAATAAGCATAGTATATTTTAAAATAATGCTATGAAATTTTTAAAAATAACAGCGTCTTCACTTGTGAAGTGAGACTAGTACTTTTAAATCTGAAATGATATTTTATGAAATATTGACACGTGATATAAATTTTTAAAAGTATTTAAGATTATGAATTAGAAAAAATAAGATTAAGAATTATAATAATTTATTTTTTATTGCAGTATTAATTGTTAGTAAAAAAATTAGTTGTAATAAATTTAGTTGACATATTTTCATAAAAATTTAAAATAAATTTATAATTGATTGAGCTATTAAAATTAAAAATTTTACAAACAAGATTACCAATTTAAAAAATAAAATTAGAAATTTTAAGAATTTAATTTTAATTATAGTATTAATTTTTAGTAAAAAAAATTAGTTGTAATAAATTTAATTGACATTAGTGTGCATAAAAATTGAAATTAAATTTATAATTATTTGACTTATTAAAATTAATAATTTTAAAAAAATATTAGATAATATAAAATATTTATTTTCATTTTAGCATTAATTATCACTAAAAATAATCTTAAATATTTTAAAATTTATGTGACATATCAACAATTCACAAAGTTTCAGATCCGATGATATTACTTTCACTCTAAAAGTGGAAATATTAGTCTCAATAACAGAGATGTTTGCTCTTTACATGTTGCGTGTCCTTGCCATTTGATAGGCAAATAAGGTCTTAGAAAAATAATTTTATATGTATTTTAATTAGAAAATTATTAAAAAACAAGTCTCAATTCACTTTTTTGTGTATTATTTATATGTTTTATTAAGATACTTATTAAATAATTATTAAATAATAGTTTTTATTTATAAGTAATTAATGAATAATTTGAATGTGATATTACCAAAAAAAAAAACTTATTTTAGATATTAGAAGAGTAATTAATGTCACGTAATTTGACAAGAATTAATAATAATGACACATTAATGCGTAACAGCATAATTTGGACCCAAAAATAATATATAACTCTTAAGTATTTTCGATATTGCAATTAATTGCTTTGAGCATTTGTACAACTAATAAAGGTAGTCGACCAAAACAATATCCTTACTAGAAATTAATTCCTATCTTACCTACAACTTTAATTCTTAGAACATTCTTTGAAACTTCAAAGTCAACACATTTTAAGTTATTGAACAAAAACATTCTGGCAAATTTTAGATGCCCGCATTAATTAAGTCAACATATCAGAGTAGAATTTAGTTTTGACATATCCAAATTAACCTTAAATAAGTTAAGTACTCCTTTCTTTTTTATAAGAATTTTTTAACTAAATTATAAATATTAAAAATATATTACATGTAGTTAATATATTAATTTTTGAAAAAAAAATTACAACATTTCAAGTTTATTTTTAATTAAAATTTATATTATATTAATTATTAAAAATTAAAATGATTCAATAATAAAGAATAAAGATGCAGGAGTTATAATTTTAAATTTAAATTGAACAAAGAATAAAGATGTAAAAAAGAATAAAAAAAAAGGTTTTATTTTAATCGGTATCAAAGGTCGGGCTTTTATATTGTTTAATAAATTTAGTATCTCATATAATAAATGTCAAAACCAATGTTATGAATAAGACACTTGGAAGTTGTTTAAAGAAACTAGTATATTTTAAAAGGTAGAAACTTAACTCAACACTAACACCGATGCATCTCTCTACCTTAACTTTTAAAACATTTTATTTTACTATTATTTTAAAATTAAAACAAAAAAATAAATATTTATTTATTTATTATTTTTAGATTAAAATGAATAAGAGAAAAAATATTAAATTTTTTTAATCAATGAAACAAAAGTAATTTTACATAATATTTGATGGAATAGAAAACATGCCTATAACTTTTAAGAACACTTGTAAATCAATTATTATATTTTAACACTCAATGTTTTTTACATTTATTCATTACGTTCTTTGTCCTACCTTTTTTTATATGGCATATTGAACTTTTATTTTTTTTATCTTTTTTCTTCACCCATTTTATTTTTCACACTCCATTTTAAGGGTGTTAATAGATCATTTCCCTTTGTAAATGGAATGGGTAGAGACATTAATATTTTTTACAAACACAAAATCGTATTAGTAGAAGATGATAAGTGGGAGTGAAGACGGGATCCACAACCTCTGCAATGGTGTGAACATGATCTTGGAGTCTGCTTCTTAACAAAATTTGTCTTGCTTAAAAAAATAATGCTTAATAATGTATAAAACTCTCCTAAGCAAGACAGAATAAGACTTTAAGATATTTTCACTTAAATAAAATTATATTTTCTTAAACATATCTTAAGTAAAATTATATTTGCTTAAATGCGTTTTAAGTAAAAATAATTAATCTTAAGCAAATTTAGAATTAAAAATCATTGATTTAAATTTTGTAATCTGCTTTAACAAACTCATATATACTTAAGCAAAATAGAATTCGCTTAAGACATATCAAACAAATTTAATTAATTTTAAATAAATTTAGAATAGAGAACAGTATCATTCACTTAAGCAAAAATTAATTTATTTAAGCGAAAATGATTTACTTGAGCCAACTTGGCTAAAATGCACCAAATTAAAATTTACTTAACAAAAATTTATTTGCTTAAGAGAATAATGCAAAAAATATTATTATTATGCAATAATAGACAAAATGCAAAATTGAGCTAAATACATTTAATAATATAGTGTTTTAGCTTACATTTTATATAAAAAATAACTTGATAAATATATATTTAATAAAAAAATAAAAGAAATTTTAATAGTTGCATAATCAATTTTGATCAAGAATTAAATCATTAATATCATGAAATTGTCTCTACAAAATAATTAGAAAGAGAATTAAGAAAATATTAATACGTTTTTCTCTCATTATTCATAAATGCAAATACAATCGTTCATGTCAAGATTCTTTCCAAACAGCAAAATGTTAGTGAATTAATAATTGAATTCAATTATTAAAACTTTGTTTAAAAGTTTAATGGAAGAGGAAAAAAAAATTTGTGAGAAGAAAAGAAAGGAAGACAAGGAGGATAAATATTTTCCTTATTTAGATATTTAACACCGAAAAGGGAGGATAACAAAAAGTTTAATATATAAATGCTATTATTATTTTTTATATTTTTTTATTCATATATTTTTCTTATCTTTTTTAAAAAAATAAATATTTTTTTCTCTCTAAACATTAATATATTTTAAATTTCTATTTTTATTTTTATAAGTTTCTAAAAATTTTCACTCTAAAAAAAATATTTTTTGAAATATATATATACACACACATACATATATTATTTTCTTTCTATTCTAACTGTAAACCACGTTAAATATTTAATCTACCAAATAAATATATATATGATAAACCTCATTGTGTGAATTACTAAAATCTCCAAGATGAGAAAACTTTAAAAAAAATAAACTTAAGAATTACTAATATTTACACAAAAAATACTTGATAAATACATATTTAATTAAGAAACAAAAGAAATTTTAATAATTGCATAATCAATTTTGATCAAGAATTTAACTATTAGTATCATAAAGTTGTCCCAACAAAATAATTAAGAAGAGAATTGAAAAAATATTAATATGTTTTTCTCTTATTATTCATAAATGCAAATTTAATCCTTCATGTCAAGATTCTTTCCAAACAGTAAAGTGTTAGTAAATTGATAATTGAATTCAATTGTTTAAAGCTTTGTTTGAAAGTTTAAAGAAAAAAAAAATTGAAAGAAAGGAGGAGAAAAAAAAGTAAATATTTATTTAAATATTTAATACTGAAAGAAAAAAGTAACAAATAGTTTAACATATAAATAATATTATTACTTTTTTATATTTTTTATTTATATGTTATTTTATCTTTTTTTTAAAAAATAATTTTTAATTATTTATTTCTATTTTTTATAATTTTTAAAACAATTCTTACTCTAGATCGTGGTATATATATATATATATATATATATATTAGTCTAACTCTCTCGTGCTAAATATTTAATCTAACAAATAAAAATATAAATAAATAAAAATTACTAAAATTTTCAAAATGAGAAAATTTAAGAAAACAAATTTAAGAGAGTTTTGGGAATTTAAAAAAAAACTCTAACCCTTCCTCTCATATTGAATTAATTTCCAAACAAGAGGTCATAATCACTAATCCTTTGTTTTTCCTTCTGTCCTCAACATGAAATCCAAAAGCTTAAGAATAATACTCATTATTCTCATGCTAATAAGTAACAAATTGCTATCCTTGTTAAATGCCTATAACACGCATACATACAAGTGTCAAATACTTGTATAAATCAATACCTGGCAAAAGCAAACTAGTGTGTCTTACCTTCATAGTGACAAACCATTTTACCAGTTATTGAAAGCTAAGACTTAATTGGATTTCATAAGATACTGAATCTAAAACAAGGTTGTACCTTAAACTATATTCTATGATCAAGTTAAAACAAGGTTGTACCTTAAACTATATTCTACGATCAAGTTAAAACAAGGTTGTACCTTAAACATCAACACACCCAAAAAATAAGGCTTAAACATTCCACTTAAAAAACTGTTCCACTACTTTTACACGATAAGCAAAAGAAGAACACAAGAGAGAAAATCTCATTTTTGAATGACTTGAATGTTGATTATCCTGTCTATAGCACCCAACAATGTGAAAGGGGAATTTGACGATGTTCACAACAGGTAATGTCGCAACTAATGTCAATATAAGTTCAGCTGTAAACAAAACAAAAGGAGGCTTAAAATGTATGACTAAAGAAGAAATATCAATCACCGAAATACACAATTTTGTTTTTCAAAACAAGAAACCACAATCAAAAGAAAATTTATCAGTGGTTACCATAGAATACATGCAAAACGAATTATATTGTTGGTCATTCCATCAAGTCTAGTTTGATATTTGTTTTACACCAAACATCTTCATAGCAAGTATATAAATAACGTAGCAAGAGTTATAGATGACAAAGACAGAAGGTAAGCATAAAAAATAATAAATTATTAAATCAACAGCAAACAAAAGACCACTGTTAGGAAAAAATAAACGACAAGCTTGAAATGCAGACAACAGGAATCAATACATTTACCCACTGAAATAGAATAGATTTAAACCTTATTTGCCACTATTTGGGTGGGACTTGGTGCAAAGGACTTTCCGTCCCTTGGCACGTCGTCGCTTAAGGACAGCTCTTCCACCTGGTGTGCTCATCCGTTTGCGGAAACCATGGGTGCGAGCCAATGATTTTCTTGATCTGCTTCTCTTAGTCTGACAAAGAGCAGCCTTGCCTGCCCTCACAACCAAGCCACAACCTTTTCCCCTTCTCACCCCAATATTAGATGTCAAGTCCAATCCAAGTGACAAGCCTTAACAGTGAAAAATTAGTTGAGAACAAGTCAAGCTAAGTTTGAACAAGAAGTTTATTTATATCCATGCAGATTAAACAAATGCACCAAACAATTCAAAGCTAAACAGTCAGTATTAGTAAATTGTTAAGAGCTCTGGTCTTTTCTCTTTCTCTTTGTCAAGTTATTCATTCAGAAGTTTTCTTGGCCAAATATGTTATTGTTTGAGTTTCCTAATTTCCTCAATGATGTTCATCAAAGGATGTCATTGAAGTATTCCTAACTGACACATGTTATTGGTGTCATTGGAATCTCTTCTCCATCCTAACCTACCAAAATCCTTTACTTTGAGCCAGGAGGACCAAGGAATTCAACATCCATATTAGTACACCAGCCAACACAACAACGAAGTTCTGGAACGAATTATGGTATGGATAATACAAAGTAGTACAAATACCAGATCACAATCCTAAATCCTTAGAGAAAGAAGAACAAGGATTTTCATCACAACAAATAAAAGCATTGCTGCACTCATTCAGCATCTTAAAAAATGCAATTGAGGGATATTAGTATTATAAGTAAAACTGGTTCTCCTCAATTGAATGAATAAACCAAATGTAGCCATGAATCAAGCGGCAAGCTCAAATGGATCTACTCCACTTAGGCTCAATTTTCACACTTCAGAGACGCCTCTAATTGCAATTTTCCGCAGACCAAAATGTCGAAAAGAAGGCGAGCATTTTAAATTTTTAATGTTATTATAAATAATAAGAACAAAACCAGCATGAAAATAACGTTGCTAGTTAGCTATATAATTAATATATGCACTTGCTTTCAGAAGAGAATTCCATCCACTTACAATCCAACCTCATTGTTTCATCAGTAAGTAGCAGTATCAACTCCTATTTGGTTTAAATTGAAAAAGAGAGAGAGAGAGAGAGATAAATTTCTTTCACAACCCAGAAAGAAATTTCATTGACAAAATTTAACCCCGCTCAAGTTAAATTCAAAATAACCCATTTTGCATAACCGGTAAACAACCACATGAAAAAGGGCAAGTACTCGCACGATAAAATCGGAAAAAGGAAATGAAAGTGAGAAGTACCTGAAACAGAGGAAGGGAAAGAGAGGGAAGAAGGAGATGAGAGGAAGGAGCAATGGAGGAGGGGAGAGCGAGCGTTAGAGCCTCTACGGGAAACATTGAAAGAGAGTGAAGATGATGTGGAGACAGTGAGAATCAGAGAAGCAGAGTAGGTGGGTGCTCGCATGGCTATGCAAGGAGATAGCGATAACGAAGCCATTGTCCCTTCTTCCTTCTCCCTGTGTGTTTCGGTAGCTTAATAAGGATAAGGTCATGTTTTATTACCTTTTTCATATAATAAAATATTAATCCAATCTACAGAGCTGGGGATGTAGCTCAAATGGTAGAGCGCTCGCTTTGCATGCGAGAGGTACAGGGTTCGATCCCCTGCATCTCCAATAAATTTTTGTAGTTAATTTAATAATTATTATTTAAATTTTAAGAAATTTTTAAATACATTTAAAAGTGTGATCCGTTATTAAAATATACATGATGATTTTATAAATTTTTTAGTTAATTTTATAATTATTATATTTTAAATAATTTATTTTGTTAAGTAATCCACTACATTATATGTGTATTTTAAATATATTTTTAAATATGATCTTTTATAAGTATACATCAAGATTTTATAAATTTTTGTAGATAATTTCATAATTATATATTATATTTTAAAATAAGTTTTATTTTTATAAAAATATTTACTTAATTACTAAACTTAAATCAAATTAACTTATTGATAGTCTAATTAAGTTAGTTTGAATCGATATATATATATATATATATATATATATATATATATATATAAATAAAAAGTTTAAATACCTTTTAACTGGCTAACTTCAAAAAACTACCTCAGTTTAAATACTTTGCATATTCAACCCAACCCATTTCACTAGTAATCTTAATGACCCAATTCAGTGTTCGAGTATTGGGAATCAAGCCTTGCAACTCAATAACCATTTCCACAACCTCTTTCAACCTCTCAATCTCAGCAAAACTCCTCACCATACACTGAACCACTTCATGTGCTTTCTCTGAATTCCCATTCCCAATGAGAGACGTTGCACACACAATGTAAAGACGCATGAAATGTCAGAAACTTGGAGTACCCAATTGCCTAATTGAAGAAGCTCAGAGCCACCATTGAACCAGCTTCACCTGCAAGCGAAGCAACAATGGTAACAGCTTGCTCGTGGGTCAAGGAATCAACATCAACGTCAAGGTGGAGTCTTGGAGAAGAAACTCTCATGTGGGCATGCTGATAGTATGAATCACACACCAACGAGCATGGGTCGGTCCAGTCCTCCATTGTTAAATCTTAGACGTGTAGTTGTATAATTTCTTGAGTTTTATTAAGTGTTGTATCAAAATCAATCAAAAGCACAATTGCCTGACTCGCACAGAAAATTTAGTATATTAAATATAGATTAAATTGAAAATAAATATTAAAAAATTATTATATAAAATTTAAGTTATGATAAAAATGCAATGAAATTATAATATTTAAATAGTTAATGATTTAAAATTAGAATCAAATTAATAACCAACTTTGATTTGGCGTAGTATATAAGAGATTAAAATTTAATTTGATATATCTATTATAATGTCTTTTTCACATATTATTTCGAACATAACATTTTATGCAAAGTATTTATAATTGTGTCACTCACTATTACATAATTATTTACAACTTTCTTTAATATTAACAATTATAATATGACTCAACATAAAAGTAATTATTTTTTATTTTTAGTTACATCATAGTAAATATGGAGAACTAGAATTATTTATAATTTTTTTAATGTTAACAATTAGAATATACCTCAACATTAAAGTAATTATCTCTTACTTTTAGTTACATCACAATGGATATAAAGAGCTAAAATGTTAATTGTATTGTTGGCTCAATTCGTAAAATGATAAATAATGTTAAAAACATTATTAACTACCTCTGTTTGTATGAACAAGAACAACAATCTCATGCCACTATAAATTTATTGAATTCATCCTTTATATTGATTAGAGCACTTGAAGGAACAAAAAATGACTTAAAAGTTTATTGACATATATGACAATACTCATGTTGAACTTGTAGTTATGTTTAAAGAATCTAAATATTAAAATAAGTTAAAATCTAAATATTAAAAATATTCTCACAAAATGAATGTTATAAATTTTGTTATGAAAATTATTTTTTCTTTTTCACAAATATACTAATCTTATTTAAGACATAGAAGAGTAATTGAGAAGCTTTTTTAAGTAAGCTAAGAACCTTAGACTGTGGAGAATGACATAATGTAATTTTTTTTTCCTTTTTTTTTTGTTTCTTTGTTGTTATTTTTCTACCATAAAAATCAACAGCCAACACTTATACTAATACTAATAGGTGAAAAATATAATAGCATAAATAAAAAAAATAAAAAAACTTTCTCCGTGTATACTAATACTCTTAAAACTTTTACTTTTTCTATAAAAAGATTGTAAACAGAACAAACCAACTTTGTTGTTAAGAAAAACAAAATGAACTTCAGTTCGAAGATCTTGGATCAGTGTGATTTGCGGAGGTAGTTCGATAGATTTTCCTAATCTTAGTAGTTCACTGTATCGACTTTCCTGCACTTTCTAGAATTTATTTCGAAGCTGTGGAAAATATTGCAACGAACTTGTGGTAACTGTTAAATTATAGAATGGATAAGAAAAAATGTGAGAGATATTTATTGTGATAAAAAAATAAAGAATAAATATAAAGGAAATTGAGTACAAAAATATATTTATTGTCTAGTTATCGACGTTGGAAAATATAATAGAAATCTGAAATTTTAATTTAATTTCTAGGCGAGATTGGTGTTCCAGCTCTAACTTTAACCAACAGTATTTCCCATGTTTCTCAAGCATAAGAGAAACGACAAAAAAAAAACAAAACAAAGTCTCACTCATTCAGTTACCGAAAAAAAACAAAACTCAACATAACACAAAGTCTCATAAAAATTGGATAGCTTTCGCCAGGCTCATTCGAGACAAGCCGTACTCAAATTATTCATCAACAAAACTAACGAGTTACCATTTTTGGTCTGGATGTACGTGATATCTTGGTCGAATCCATATCCCTTTGAGGTCACGACTTTGAGATGCTGCTGTTGCCTCAGCTGTTGCCTCAATGCTTTCGCTCTGAATTATTTCCTTATATCCACACCTTTCCGATGGAGCCTGCGTCCCACATATAGAAATTGAAACATCTTCCTCTAACCCCAGTTTTCTCTTTATATCCTTCTTTCCAAAATAGTCTTTACGTACACGATAATTCAACACACCAACGGTAGAAGCACGCGGTTTTGTAACTATACGATAAGTGTTCCATTCTTTGGTTTTAGCAGCATCAAATGTAAGCAAGATATCGAACCCGTCCAAAAAGTGAAATTTCTCTTCATAAAATATAGCAGCTCTAATTGTTTCAAGTACATCGCTATGATAAGTGTGCTTACCCCATTCATTGTCTCCCCTACAAAGCACAAACAGTTCCAAATCACGCTCATGACTGCGACTAATCACAGCAACAGTGCAATCTTGAGAAGTGGGAGCAGATGAAAACGCCGCAACATGATTCGTTAATTCTGTGAAAGGACAATTTGGAAGCTCTATTTTTGCTCTTGAAAAAGGACAAAAGAAGAACATCGAACCTTGGCAGAACAGAAGCAACCATCCATCGTAGGATGCGAGGCATGTTGCTCCTTCAAGTTCCGGAATGCTGATACTGTAGACTTTATCTCCATTATTCAATAGAGAACACTGAGAACCTTCTCCTCCTCCGTAAGTAAGAAACCAAAGATCAGATTCACGAGATTTGTCTTGCGGCGACGTTTTCGAAGAAGCAATGTTCCAGTCACGGCAAACACCACGAAAGCTTAAAAAATCAATCAGTTCTAGATCTCTAGCTATTCGTGACAGCAAATCATAAGGCAGATTTGACCATTGTGATTCCATTGTCATTTTGAATTTGGTTGAATCAACCTCTGCAAATTAGACGCCTTGGCTTCATAAACCTTGTGGAATAGGGTTTTTCTATTCGATAGGGTAGAGTAAAATAGGGTTTAAGTTTCCCTTTTAAAGACAGATTTTGATTTTCAAAACAGTAAAATAAAAAATCTTAACTGATCAAGTTATCTGATCAGGCTTAAAAATTTATTTTTTAAAATAAGAAAGCTCCACAACTTAAACATGTTTCAAAGTTGTATTTTTATTTTGATTATATATGAAAACAAATTATAACATCTTCTCTTTGCACTTTTTTTTTTTTCAAAATTTCTTTGTCAAATGTTATTTTTCTCATTTATTCTTAAAATCAGATTTTAAAAATTAGTTAATAAAACAATTTTGAAAAATAAAATAAAATCAAGCGCACCAACCAACAGCACATAATGACCTAGTACTAGTTTTGGAAAAGACATAGATGTTTAATCTACTTTAAAGTTTTTATCATCGACTCAATATATAAGTACGTACTTGTATGCGTTTCGTTTATAATATGAATACTTTCAAATCAGCTTATTTAAAATATAATTATATTCATAAAATTTTACAATAGAATTTATTAATATAAATCATTAATATTTAATTTTAAATTACGATAATAAGGAAAGTGAAAAAGGTCATTATAATTAAAAATATATTTTTTTAAGAAAGTTTAAATAATTGAAAGATTATTTTGAATATTTTTTTTATTTTTTATATAAAAATATTTATTTAACAGTTTTTATTTTGATTTTATTAAAAAATTTGTTTGATATTGTTTGTTATTTTCAATTTAACTTTATATGAAAAAATTATTAAAGTAATATTTTATTCTTAAAATGTATTAAAAAAAATCTTAAAATAATCATAAAATTTGTCAACCACGTAATTTGATTTCTCCTAAAAATCTGAAATTTTGTTTCAAAGAGTCAAGTTGATTGTTTCAGCGTTGTTGAAGGAACTGACTCTAAAAAGGAAAATTTTAATACTTTATTTAACTGATATTATAAATCATAGATCATAACTATCTACACTTAACAAAAAAAAAATTACAAAAGTTTGAAGTGTTAATTCGTGAAAAAAAAACTAATTTTTTAAAGTATAATTTTTTAAAAGTAATTAAAAAATTAAAATAAATAAATAAAGAATAATTTAAATATTATTTATTATATTAAAATTAGCCGTGACAACTTTAAAGATGTAACATTTTAAAAACATTCTTGTGAATATTCAAATTTTGTTTAAAAATTTTTATATTTTATTTTTATAAAAAATAAGAATAAAATATTTTAAGAATATTAAAGTTTTTTTTAACAGAATGAAAAAAATTCAAATTTTAAAATTAGAAAAAGAAATATTATATATAATTAAATTCATAAATCAATACTTGCTTTATATATAAAAAAAATTAAAAATTTTGAACTTTTGTACAAACCCAAAAAACAAGAATGATACCAATAAAAAAGGAATAAAGAAACCATTGAAAAGGGAGGATGAGGCTAAAACTTTGAGAGTGTATATTTTGAGGGGAGAAAAAAAAGAAGTGGAGGAGATTAAAAAAGAAGAGTTCAAGAACTGCATATAAATCATTTTATGAAATTTTTATATATATTCAAGCACATATATGCCATGTAAGTTTCATATAATAAAACATTTTTTTCTTAGTCATTCCTAACTTTCTAAATACACCATTATGAAATCTAACTATTTCCCACCGTTCTTGATTATGATAGTTTATTCTCTTAACTCATGTACAAACAAAATAAATCCTTTCTTCTTTACCTTTCTCCTTCCTTTCCTTTGATAACTATGAAATTTTTTTCTCTCAACCCATTATGCTCAACCACAAAAGCTTCTTCTCCTCAACTCCTCACTCTAACTATAGTCACCATCAAACTTACCTTCATCTCTTTTATGATCTTTCCATTGAAAAAATAATCCATTTGGTGTTCTTAAAAAAAACTCAACCTCTCAAATCTAAAGTTTTAAAATTCTTGACAATTTTGCTATTTTTTTATATTAATGTTTATTCTTTTAATCATATTCTATTTGAGTTGTATTTTTATTTGTAAAATGAATTTCATTCTAATATATTTAGAGGTTAAATAAATAATTTTAAAAATTAAAATTAATTTATATAATTAATTTAAAATAATTAATTTAGAGTAACTGTTATTTAAATGGATAAATGTTAATATATTCTTTACATAAACGACTCTGGTTTTTTTTTTAAATAAACTTTAGTGGTGATTATTTTGCTTTAAAAAAAATATTTTTAAAAGATGTTTCTCATAATGTGTTCCTAACACCAACCCTAATTATGACAGTTTTTTATACAAATAAAACTAATAAAAAATTTAATATATCATTAAAATAATACTTTCCATCTTATCTAACAAAAACACCAATATTCAACAATTGAGTTTCCTTTGCCATTAAATTACAAGTAAAAACATGTATTCATAGAGTTAAAAAAATTATTTAATAAGTTGTTAAAATAATTATATATATATTAGTAAAATAATATTTTGTTTTTATAATATAAATTCATTTGATTATAATTTACAAAAATATTAAATTATCTTAAATATTTGATTTTTATTTATTTAAATAAATAAATAAATATCTAAATCAAAATATTCAATTATTTTTTCAGCAATGTTTGATAAACATCCTAATTTACTTTTTTTTTACTAATACATCCTAATTTACTTTTTTTGGATACTTTTTAAAAATTTAAATTATTCAAATAATATAAAAAATTTATTTAAAATAAATAAATTTTTATAAAAATACAATGATGTTAATAAAAAATTAATTAATATTATCTTAAATTTCTATGTAAATAAATAGCTAAAAAAATATGTATTATTTTATCTTTGAGCAGATACATAAAAATAAAACTAATAATAATAAAATAGTTTATATTTCTTCATTCTTCCTCTTTTAAATCAAATAAATTTTAAAATTTTCTCCCTATAAATTTCTCTTCTTCTCTCACTTTCTTAAAACCAAATAGTATAGTATAGAAGCTTCATTAAAAAAAAAAAAACTACTTAAATAGAGCACATTGTTGTTAAAAAAATATGTACTTAGATATAATATATTTAGTAACACAAACTTATAACTTATTAACTTGATTGATAAGTTAATAAAACTATTTAGTAAATTACAAATAAAAATTGTGAATCTTAAAAACTAACGTCTAAAAACTTTCCTAAAATAATTTTTAATTTTCAAAAGTTAAATATCAATAATTAAGTTTTATATTTACTTTTACTTCAAAAAAAAGTACGAGAAGAAAGCTTGTTATTAATTATTAAATTATCAAATAATTAGTTAAAAATAAATAAATAAATAATATAATTGATTGAATCATAATGTATAAATAAAAAATACAATTGAATTATTTAGTTAAATGTTTGATGATAAATAAATAAATAAAATAAGTGCTCTTTAATTCTAATACTATACCAACATTAATATTATATAATTTATTTAATTATTTAATATATTTTTATTTTTATTAAATATTTATAATTTAATCAACTAGTTACATAGTTATAAAATATCAACTAACTTTATAGTTATAAACTCATAAATGTATAACTTTTAATTAATTTTACTAAACAAATATATAAAGGAATGTGAGGGAATAAATAAATTAAAGAGAGACGAAAGAAGTTACGAAAAATTGATCTACATAGTAATAATTCACGTTTCACGTATACATCTCAATCAACTACTCTCACGATGATAACTACGATTTTTTTTAGTTTGCAAATTTAAACACGCTATATCAGTGAAGAATATATTTTTTGAATATTTAAATTACAATTTATTTTTTTTTGTGTTATGACATATATTTTTTGGAATATATATAATATCAAATTTTAGTAATTCAAATGACAAAACTAATATAAATAAACTAGCTACTTTGGAGATCTTTTTTAAGTGATGCTGTAGTGGCTGAATTTTTTATTATTATTTTAATTTGTATGATGAGTGAATTACTTCTTGTATTTCTTTCAATTATTTTCGTTGACTTAAAAAAAAAACCAGCGAATATGTTAAACTTTCTGTTGACCAAGATATGCAAAAATGAACAGAAACTTATAATACCGTATTTTATTATATAGGGTGGAGACTAATGCAAAAATGATCTTCAGCGTTAATGAAGATTATATGAACACCGTTTGAGAGTAGAAACTGCAACTATTGTCACCTAATAATGGGCTAATGGCATGTCATTGCCAAATGATATCATCATAAACATCAACAACGATCCCAAGCATCCACAAGGCAATATTATATTATCCAATGTTTGCTTAGCTGCCAAGCACTGCACTAGTCAACTAAAGTAGCCAATTCATGCTCAAGTTGAGTCTGCTATGATTGGGATTGGACAGATTAATACATGCATGCTTCTATTCCACGTGTAGATTTCATATGGAAGCAAAAAGGATAATGTTGTTGCCAGCACCCATGGAAGCAATCATTGCCGCTGCAACAATGGAACCTTTCACTGTAGCCCACCAATTAATATTCCATTCTGCTGCATTCCCATTTTCTGTTTAAGCTTTCTACACCCATTTTTTTATTATTTAATTAAATTTTAATTTTTACACAAACTATGTTAAATATTTTTTCATCGTTGAATAATATAATAACACAAATTACAGTTATAAATTATAGCCAATTAAGTTATAATAATAATAATAATGAAGATGACCTTATGTTTGGTAATTTACATGTTTGTATTATGCATTCAGTAAAATATGACGATATGAAGAAAAAATAATTTACTTTATATAATATCCCAATTAACTTCTTGGACTCCACTTTCCGAGATAATCAGATATACATATGTCATGTGATATCATTGACGGTCCACCTATGAGCACTGGCAAAACAAAAGGTAACCTCGCAGTCTCGCACACTCCAAACCACCACTTTATTTCTCTTCCATTCAT